GAGACCCCTGCGGAGGGCGGCCTCCCCATGGCCGCGGCGACGTTCAGCTCCATGCGCTATTTCTCTCCTTGCAAAGGGGGTGTGATGATTTGTTTTTTCTTCCTATCTTCTTTTTTGGGTTTTTTTTTTCGAGCAGTGTTTTTTAGTTTCTAAGGAATAACTGGTTTCTTCTCCCCCACGTGCAGTGCTCCTCTAGCTGGGACGTGCCCATCCCGGGGTCCGGAGCAGCACGGCCTCCCATCCTCCACCTTCCCTGAACAAATTAGTGGCTTCCCACCTTTAGTTGCTTCTTTGAAAGGAAAAAGTAACCAAATTCAGCCCTCTCCCTCTTTTGTATGGCCGAGCAAGATGCGCTCCCGGCCGTGAGCCGGTTCTCTCCGCTGAGACGCGAACGGGACAGTCGGGGAGCAGCGATGCGAGACCTCTGCCCGTGCTTTGCTTTCGCTCTTCACTGCCTCGTGCTCCCAGTCCTGTCCTTCCGAAACGTCCCCTCACGGCGCTTCTGCGTGTAACTTTTTGGGGTTTATGAAGATGTTTTAAGGGAAAAAGAAAACAGCTCACACTTTTAACACAAACACCAAGCTGAAAGAAGGCTTAAATACTGCGGCGTGCAGGTTTTTTTCACGATACCACGTGTTGCATTTTTCACAGGATTCTTGCACTAATGGTTTTCCATCTGTTCTCTCTGTAAATGGGTGCACTTTACTGTTTGAATTTGTTACTATGATAAATACTGGATATTTAAGCGTGAGTAGTGTCTTCATTAGAAAATAGCAAAACAGCTCTTGTCTCTTAGTGTATTTTTCAAAAAAAAAAAACCAAGAAAAAAGAAAAGAAACTAAGCAATGAATCATAACATTTATAGCACAAGAACTGACTCTTGTATATAAGCATCAACAGATTGAGTAATTTTTAAACACAAAGTTATTTGCAGTGGTTTTAAAGCGCTTCCCCAGCAATTCTCTTAGGGACAGTTGAGGCAGGATGGCTGCTGTGGTCGCCGGGTGGGCAAAGGAGCACACCTCTCCCTGGAAAAGCCGTTCTTTACACAGCCCCTCCCCTGTGCCCTCAAAGTCACGATTCGGATTCGGCTTAGATGGAAAGCAGAGGTCGTTTCGCATGGTGCGCGGTTCCACTGGGAAGCGCGGTGCTGTGCGCGTGGCTCGGTGGAGCAGGAGGCTCAGATCTCGCCCGGCGTCCCTTCGCCCTGTCATCTTAGCTCTCGATCTGACAAGCCCGGGCCGCGTTGCAGGAGCATGCGCAGAGTTTCAGACACGGTATCGTGTTGTCCATCCGTGCTCCGCATTTAATTACTCTTTGAGTAATTAAGATGCGGGACGATGCTGCCAGCGGCATCTCCGTCCCGTCCCCGACTGCAGCGGCACCGCTGGCGAGCCCCCCGTGTTGCCAGAGAGTAGGGGTCTGTGGTGCACCGAGTAAAACAGGTTCGTGATGACATTGAAACCTCCGGGTTTGGTTCTTGGGGCGCGTTGGGTCGGCGATGCTGAAGGATGCTGTATTTAGCCGACGGTCCCACCAGGTGTCTCTCGTCCTCTGCCCGCAGCCGCTGGGTGCTCCGGCCCCAGGGGGGGGGACGCCCGCCTGGGGGGGGGCTCTGCAGGGGTCCCCACCAGCCAGGCTGGGAATGGCATCGGAGGGCTGTGAGAATAGTCGTTAGTGCTTTAGGGAAGGGCGGGTTTTACAAAGACAGACCCCTTGGGATCCGTCTCCAAAGGTGAAAGCGCCGCGCGACCTGAGCCGCCTTCTCTGCGTGGCTGCCGGGGAGGGCGCAGGCTGCACCAGCACCCGAAAACCCAAGGCGCGCGCCCGTCCGCCCGTCCGTCTGTCTGCCGGCTGGCACCGGTGCCCGCAGGTGGGTCCATCCACGCTCTGAACTTTTTTGGTTTTTTTCTTTAACCTGGCTGTGAAGAAAACCGCTTGGCTAGTGTGAAGGTGGTGTGTGCCTGCGACAAACACCTGAGCCATACTTGGGTTAGGTCCGGAAGCAGGGCGTTTGGAGCGATTCAGTCCCCTCGTACGAAGGTTGCTGTATATTCAGGGTTGCCCAGAAGAAGTCTAGCTGAAACCCAAGTGCCAGCTCCGCCTTATCCAGAGGAAAGCAAGCCGGTGTGCCTGCTCGTCCTCCGCCTTCCTTGCAGCGGGGGGTCCGCGGTGGGCTGTCGCAAGCTCTTTGGTGGTTGTACTTTGCTTTAGTCTTGGGTATTCGAGATAACTCTTCTGCCGGGATTAACGGTGTTTAACCAAGGGCTTAGGGGAAGAGCTGTTGTACCCGCTGGGACCTCTGCAGATAAATGCCTTCGCCCCGTGCCGGTGGCTCTACGCGAAGTCTTGGTGGGGTGCGTGTTGGACACAAAGCACAATGGTTGAAAGTTAATCTGCATTTTTTTCAGATTTGTGTGAATAATTGCTGGATTTTCATTCAATCAAACTCTTTTTTCTAATATAAACCACTAAGGGCTCAATTCTTTAGCAAGATGCGTTCGTGTCCAACTCCTGACTATACAGCTGGATCTCACCGCAACTGTTACAGACCTACCCGAGAGAAAACACAGCTAGCGCGACCGTCGCCGGGAAAGCCAACGGGACACCAAACCCGTCCGCCGTATCCTTTCATCCTGCTCATTTTCTAGCTGTCACGGTACTGGGGAGTCGGCAGCCGGGTCCCATCCCACGGGATCGCATCCTATAGTTGTGAAAACAGAGGGCTGCTTTGCCAAAAGACTTTGTCCCTTCCGGGTGGCGCGGTGCGGGGACGGCGGTGGGGCTGCGGGTCGTCTCCTCCGGCGGGTCGGGGTGGTGCTGGGCGGGTGGGAGAGCCTCCCCCCACCCCCCCCAGGGAACCGGGTCGCTTCACCGTGGGTCTGCCTCGCTGTGCACTGATAAGCCAGACACCGGGAGCAGCACTGTGTGCTACGTCAAGTCCGTTTTGTTGCTACACCGATAACCCAGAGACACGCGTGGACTCTGCCAGTACTGCCGGTGTCATCCCTGTCCAGCCTTTTCTTTCCCATAGTGTTGCATTCAGCGTTTTCGTCTCCCTTCTGTCTTCACATCCGAGAGGACCCGAGTTTGGTACAAACGCGTACAGTACACACACCTTGTGCTTTGTACAGTTCCCTGGTTGCCATCCTCCGAGACACTTGCTGGGAAGATCTTTAAGACACTTAAATTTTCCTTTAGCTTTTCTATAATTCTGATGTAAAGGACTTTCTCTGTACAGTATATTATTCAATGCATGTTCTGTTCTCTCTACTGATATATTGAACACCACACAGTTGTGATATTGTGCAGTGGGAAGAGCAGCCCCTGCCGACAGCGGAGGCCTTCGCCTCTCATGAATAAGGAAAGAAGAAAACATATTTTTTCCTTTGCTGTATTTGCTTGAGCAGAGTTTTCTTGTCTGTACATGTGAGCTGTGAGATAGATGTGAAAAGTTCAAAAGAATGCATTCCCCCCCCCCAATGTATACAGATTGTAATCTGTACAATGAAAACTGTATGTATGAAAAAATGTACTTATTTATAAATGGTTAACACTTGGAAACGGCATCTGGCCTGGCGTTTTTCCCATGCTGCAGTGAGCAGAGGAGCACGCCGCACGAGGGTTGGGTCTGGCTGTCACGGCCTGGGGATGGGGACAGGGACCTGGCACCACCAGGAGCAGGAGGGGAGGGCAGCAGCGCTGCTGCTGCTGTTGGCAAAGGGGCGTTAATAAAACAGGGGAGGGAACCGCATCAGAGAGTGTGCTGGGATAAACTGCGGAAAGCACAGCTCGGTGCGGTGGACACTGGAGCCCTGCAGCTCCCGAGAACCCGAGTATCTGTTCGCTTCATCCCTGCCCAAACCCAGGACTGGGTTGTGCAGCTGAAGGCCCCTCGCAGCTGCGAGCATCCCTGCCTGCAGCCGCTGGGATGGGCTGGATGCACGCTGCAGAAGGACACGGCACATCGGGGTTGTGGCGAGCAAAAAGCCCCGGCGTGGGCTTGTGCCTTTGCTGGGGCTGCTCTCGCGTTGCAGCGCTGGGATCGGGCGCTTCGGGTTTCCGGCAGCTTCACCCCTGGCTGCCTGTGCCGGAAGCCAGAAGGAAGAGGGGATGGTTTCAGCAAAGGAGACGAGCCCACATCTCAGGAATGCACCTCCTCATGGCAGTGGGTCTCCCCCGCTTCCATGGGCACATCCAGGGCATGGCCAGACCCTGGAGACATCCCCGTGGGGTCCCTCGTGCCACCACCGCGGAGCTCCACAGCACTGGGTGCACGGCACAGGGCCCAGATGGGACAACCCCGTCCCAAATACCCACCCTGCCCTCCCCAGCCCCTCGGGCAGCTCCTCTCCCGGCTCAGGGGTACCCCGAAAGCATGAGCTGGAGGAGGACAAGCTTAGCTGCAGACATTTATTGGGTCAGGAGCATCCACTGAGCAGACAACACATCGCGTGAAAGAAGAAAACATTTCAGACATGACGACACTGAACCTGCACAGCCGCCGGGTCGCTCCGAGCCCCCGGGGAGCCCTTCGGGGAGAGCAGCCCCCACGCGTGGCCGCGCTGGAGGGCGATGGGCTGCCAGCACGTGGGAAATCCGTGTGGTGGCAAACATCCCCTCTGCCCCCATGGGCATTGAGAACGGGCTTTGGGCTTCACCGCTCACAGCGGGGAAATGTGGGCTCCCACCCCGGGGACCCCCGTCCTTCGTGCCCCAGTGATGCTGCCACCCCCTGCCCCTGCCTGCGGCACCGCCGGCCCCGCGGGGCTCGGGGCTGGCTCGGGGGTCACCAGGGGCTGCGCAGGACAGAGCTGAGAGAATTAAGACCAAGCGAGGCTGAACCCAACGGGCAGCGATACACCAACAAGCGTGTCCTTCCCCAGCTGTTCTCATCACCCTGAGCCAGGCAGAACCCCAAGACACTGGGGACGAGGTACACAGGGACACCCCACAGACACCACGAGGTGCCCGTGCCAGGGACTGAGGATCTGGGGACATCACTGGCTGCCGCCACCGGGGCTCTCGCCCTCCGTCAGGGTCTTGAAGTCCATGGAGAGGGCCAGCTCCTCAGCCAGTGGTGGGCGCTTCCAGTCGTCCCGTGTCAGCACGTAGCCCACCACCAGCCCGAAGGCCACCAGCAGCACCCCCAGGGTGTTGGCCAGGACGCCCTCGGGCACAAAGTGGCTGTAGGGGTCACTGCGGGGGCAGAGGGGGATGCTCCAGCCTCGGGGTGCGGGTGGCCTGTCCCTCCCCTGGCCGGGATGCCCTCCTCATCCTCACCCTCTGGCTCACTCCCTGGGAAAGGTCCTTTCCCCCAGATCAGAGCAAGAGGTGACTGCCCGGGTGCTGCTCGCTCTGGGGAGGGACGCTCTTGGTGACAGCAGAGAAAACGGGGGGCACAGTCCTACAGCGGGGCTATAGGCACCTCCCCTGCCAGATGCGCTCCCACAGCCAGAGGCAGGTGGCTCCCGCGGTGCCCCATAGCCATGTCCCCACGGTGCTGGAGCTGGGGGGGGACCCCGATGTGGAGGTGGGGCCATCGCCATGTCCCCCAGCTCCGAGGGCAGAGGCCTCGGGGACATGCCGGGGGCGGTTCTGAAAACACCCGGCTGCAGAGAGGCGATGGTGTGTATTTTACCCCCATCCCCAAAGAAAGCTGTCGCAGAACCCAGCCCTTGTTAAACACCATCTGGGAGTGACTCAGCAGCAGCAGAACTAAAGGCCACGGTGTGAGATTTAATAGCCACAGAGCCAGAGCAGGGGCCAGATTTTGCCCCAGGGGGCTGGAGCAGCCCTTTAGCTGGGGGTCAGGGGGATCGGGGTGGGGGGCTACCACCCCCTCCCCAGCTCGTTCACCCACCTGATGTTGAAGAGGAGCATCTCAGTGATTCCCAGCAAGCAGGCGGCGATGGAGAGGGCAAAGAGGGCGATGCCGAAGAAGACGTGCTGGGGTTTGTACCGACTGCGCAGCGAGAAGGAGGCGCCGGGGAGCAGGAAGAAACCGCAGCCCAGGAGCCACTGCGGGGGGACAGGGATGTGACGGGGCCCCGGCCCTCACCTGCAGGAGGTAGAGCACAAAGGCGGCCATCCCGCACCAGCTGTGCAGGCTGTACATGTCGGGGATGCCCTTGGTCCGGTGGGACTCGAAGACGGCGACGATGCCTGCGGAGAGAGGAGCCCATTACCACCGGGGCCGGGTTCAACCCCGTCTGCCCGTCCCGGCCCCGGCGCTCACCGACGAGGGCGATGAGCAGCGCCAGGCCGTGGAGCAGCGCGTGCAGCGCCTTGGTGGAGCGCTTGGCTTCGTGCCTGAAGACGCGGTAGACCAGGAGAGCTGCCGGAGGAGAGAGGGGCTGCTG